CTTACATATTGATGTTTCCCTACCTCTTCTCCCTTCCCCTCTCTCTAAAAATAAATAAGTAAAATCTTTAAAAATCTTCTACAGGAAAAGGAGAATCACTTAAGAAGAATTCCTCCACTTTTTTTTTTTTTTGGTTATTCTGGGTTTTAGGAGAGAATTCTAAGGTTAGGTAGATGTACGTAACAGGAGCAGATCCTATAGGTCTTGAACATGTGAGTCCACAACAATGAGTTTTTATTCAAGGTCTCAGTGCTGGAACAGACAGTCAAATATCAGTTTAAACTCTGCCTGTTAATAGATGACTTAAAGGTGAAGTCTATAATACCATGAAATTTTTGCATTAGGTTTTACCTTGGAACATTTGAAACATAAAGCATTTGGAAGGTAAAAGTAGAATAGAAACTCTGAGCAAACATTAAGAAAATTGTCTAAATCATGCTCCTTCCATTATTCTTCAACTTTTATATTTATGGACATGTATATTGCTTATAAATTTTAATAGTTTTTTATTTATTTATTTATTTATTTTTAGAGAGAGGAGAAGGGAGGGAGAAAGAGAGGGAGAGTATACATCACTCATTTGCCTCTCGCACACCCCTCACTAGGGACCTGGTCCACAACCTAGGCATGAGACCTGACTGGTAGTCAAACCAGTGACCTTTTGGTTCCCAGGTCGGCGTTCAATCCACTGAGCCACACCAGCCACAGATTTAATAGTGTTTTAAGAAGAAATTGTATGATACCTCTGAACCTCCTGGTAGTCTTCCTTCATTGTGTCTCTTTACTATATTTTGTTTGTATCTTAGAAAATTGCTTCTTGGATTTTTAAACATAATGTGACTCTTATTCTTAAAATGAAAACAGATTTGAAAATTTAAATAAATAAATAAATCAAAGTCCCAGCAAACCAAAGTCCTGGACTGAATGGCTTCACAGGTGAATTTTACCAGACATTCAAAGAAGAACTAACACCTATCCTTCTCAAACTATTCCAAAGAATTCAAGAGGAGGGAAGACTCCCAAGCTCATTTTACAAGGCCAGAAATTTCCTAATTCCAAAACAGGATAAAGACACTACAAAGAAAGAAAATTCTGGGCCAGTATTCCTAATGAGCATAGATGTTAAAATTCTCAATAAAATATTAGCAAACCAGATCTAGCCATACATTAAAATGATCATACACCATGATCAAGTGGTTTTATTCCAGGAATGCAAGATTAGTCCAATATCTGCAAATCAATAAATGTGATACACCACATAAACAAAATGAAGGGATAAAAACTACATAATCATAACAATAGATGCAGAAAAAGCATTTGATAAAATCCAGCACCAATTTATAATAAAAACTCTCAGCAAAGGGGGACTAGAGGGAACATACTTCAACAAAATGAAGGCTATACATGACAAACCCACAGCCAACATCATACTCAATGGGCAAAAGCTACAAGCATTTCCCTTAGATAGGGAACAGGACAGACATGTCCACTCTCACTGCTCTTATTCAACATAGTACCAGAAGTTCCAGACACAGAAATCAGAAAAGAAGAAGAAATAAAAAGCATCCAAATTGAAAAGGAAGAAGTAAAACTGTCATTATTTGTAGATGATGTGGTACTATATACAGATAACTCCAAAAATTCCACCAAAAAAAACTTCTAGATTAATAAATGAATTCAATAAAGTAGCAAGATATAAAATAAATATCCAAAAATCAGTTGAAATTTTATACATCAATAACGAACTATCATAAAAGGAAATTGAGAAAACAATCCCATTTACAATTGCATCAAAAGATACCTAGGAATAAAACTAACCAGGATGTAAAAGACCTGTCCTTGGAAAATTATAAGACACTGAAGAAAGAAATCAAAGAAGATACAAATAAGTAGAAGCCAATGAAGTCTGTCTGGAAAAAGTCCAGCCATTGTTAATATAACAAGAAGGGTTTGCATGACATTGATGTAACCTAGCACCCAAGGAGAGTGGACTAGGATGCACATGTGTGAATGGACAACCTCACTGTACTAATCAGTGGGAGCGATAGATGCCATGGAGTGAGCATGTGTAGTATGTAGCCATCACATTCAAAATGACTGAGTGAGTAGAACAATGAGTTTGCATCAAACTTTGCATTAAGCTTGAACATTCCTCCACAGAAACTATTTGAATAATTCAAAAGGCCCCAGCTATGGGCAACTGGTGATTGGCAGCTTCATCATAACAATGAACCCATTCATGCATCATATCTCGCAGAGTTTTTTGGTGAAACATCAAATCACCTGGGTGATTTAACCCCCCTACAGCCCAGATTTGGTGCCCTGTGACTTCTGACTTTCCCAAAACTAAAATCACCTTTAAAAAGAGATTTCAGACCATCTATGAGATTCAGAAAAATATGACAGGGATGGCAAAAATATGAGCAGATGGCAACTGGGAGAACTGTGTGAGGTCCCAAGGTGCCTACTTTGAAGGGGACTGAGGAGTCATTGTCCTATGTACTATGTTTTTGTATCTTGTATCTTCAATAAATGTCTCTATTTTTCATATTACATGGCTGGATATCTTCTGGATAAACCTCATATACCATGTTTATGGATAGGAAAAATTAACATCATTAAAATGTCCATACTACCCAAAGCAATCTATAGTTTCAACACAATTCCTATAAATATACCAATGGCGTATTTCATAGAATTAGAACAAATATTTCGAAAATATATATAGAACCAAAAAATCCCCAAATAGCCACAGCAATCTTGAGAAAGGAAAACAATGTTGGAAAAATCATGCTACCACATATCAGACTATATACTACTAGGCCATAGTTATCAAAACAACATGGTACTGGCATAAGAACAGCCATTGATATAAATCAATGGAAAATTATAGGGAACCCAGAAATAAACCCACATCTTTATGGTCAATTAATATTTGACCAAAAAAGCAAGATCATGCAATGGGCTGAAGATACTATTCAACAAATGGTTTTGGGAAAATTGGACAGATACATGCAAATAAATGAAACTAGATGACATCCTTACACCATACACAAGAATGAACTCAAAATGAATTAAAGACTTACATATATTCGTTAAAACTAGAAGAAAACATAGTAAAATTGTGGACATTTCTCAAAGCAGTATTTTTTTTCTGATATACCTCCTCAGGTAAGGGAAACAAAGGGCAAAATAAACAAATAGGATGATATCAAACTAAAAAGCTTTTGAACAGCAAAGGAAACCATCAAGAAAACAAAGAGACAACCAACTCAATGGGACGACACATCCACCAATGCTATATCTGATAAGGGTTTAATATCCAAAATTTATTAGGAACTGAAACTCAACACCCAAAAAAACAAACAATCCAATTGAAAAATGGACAGAGGGCCTATATAGTAGCTTCTCCAAAAAGCACATATAGATATCCAATACACATATGAAAATATGCTTAACATTACTAATCATTAGAGAAATGCAAATTAAAACCACAAGGAGATATCACCTCATACCTGTCAGAATAGCTATCATCAGTAAATCAGCAAACAACTAGTGTTGGAAAGAATGTGGAGAAAAGGAAACCCTTGTGCACTATTGGTGGGAATGCATATTGGTGCAACCACTCTGGAAAACAATATGGAGTTTCCTCAAAAAATTAAAATACAACTGTCTTATGACCCAGTGATTCCACTTCTGTAAATACAGCCAAAGAAATCCGAAGCACTGATTTGAATCAATATAGCCAACTCTAAGTTCATTGCAGCACTATTACAATAGCCAAGATGTGGAAGCAGCCCTGGCTGGTGTGGCTCAGTGGGTTGATCACCAGCCTGAAAAAAGAAAGGTCACTGGTGTGATTCTCAGGCAGGGCACATGCCTGGGTTGCAGGCCAGGTCCCCAGTTGGAGGCATGCAGAAGGCAACCTACTGATGTTTCTCTCCCTCTCTTTCTCCCTTTCCTACCCTCTCTCTAAAGACTAAATAAAATCTTCCTTAAAAATTTATTTATTTTTAGAGACGGATGACATGGAGAAAGGGAAAGAAACATCAATCTGTGGTTTCATTTTGCACACCCCCAGTTGGGCACCTGGCCTGCAACCCAGGCACATGCCCTACACTGGGAATCGAACCAGCAACCCTTTGATTCGCAGGCCAGCACTCAATCCACTGAGCCATATCAGCTAGGGTTAAAATCTTTCTTTAAAAAAAAAAGATGTGGAAGCAGCCCAAGTGCCCATCAGTAGATGAGTGGATACAAAAGCCATTAGTACATCTATGCAATGGAATGCTACTTGGCTGTAAAAAATAAGGAAATCTTACATTTTGTGACAGCATAAATAGACCTAGAGAGTATTGTGCCAAGTGAAATAAGTCGGTGAAAGAAAAACAAGTAAAATACCATATGATTTCACTAATATGTGGAATCTAATGAACAAAATAAACTAACAGATAAAATGGAAACAGACTCATAGAGACAGAGAACTGGCTGACATCTATCAGGAGGGAGTGGGGCTAGGGAGCTGGGTTAAAAAGGTGAAGGGATAAGCTAGGAAAGGAAAAACTCATAGACACAGAAACATTATGGTGATTACCAAAGGAAAAGGAGGATTGGGGAGGTAGAAGAGGGTGTAGGGGGGATAAATGGTAATGGAAGGAGACTTGACTTAGACTGGTGAGCACATGATACACAGATGGTGTATTATAGGATTGTATGCCTGAAACCTGTATAATTTTATTAGCCAATGTAACCCTGATAAATTCAATTAAAAAAAATACAACCTCATCAACATTTCCCCCCAAAAAAGAAAAAGAAATCTTAGCAATATCAATGCAATATCATGTTCATAAAAGGAGAAAGCTAACCTGTATCATTTTATGGGAAAAGAAATATTATATAGTGTTTACATAGGGAAGATTCACTGAAATATAATTTCCTGCTGTTCCTATACTTGGCAAAATAAGTAAAATTATTGCAAAAGATTTAAAAGGTCAACTTACCCCTTCCGTAAGAGTTACTATTGATGAAAATGCAGAATTCATGAAATCATAAACACCAATTTGAAATAAAAATTGCGGAAAATGACTCTCAAAAGCATCTTCTGTGGATTTATAAATAAAAATAAGTTAACACTTTATATGATGTAGCTTTTGAATCTAATTTCCCCTTAATCGCTCTATTAAAAACAAATAACTTGTTTCTTACCTTTTTGAGCAATATAATTTTGAGAAGACAAAGAGTAATCAGATGAAAACATCTGACTGTTTGGTAGGGTATTTTCCACAGACCTGTCTATTTCTTCCTGAATAAACCCTTCAGTATCTAGTGATGTTTCTGATTTTTCATCACTATTTTTAGAAGATGGAGTTTTGAAGTGTAAATCTTCAATTCTCCCAAGTAACTCCATTTTTGAGGTCACTTCTGCAAGTAAATGAGAATTTGTTTTAATTCTTCCTTTGTTTTGGGCTTCCCTTTTATTTTCTAGAAACTTGTGATCATTACAATACTTCATTACAGAAAAAAATTACTAAAACATAAATTTTAGCCTATATTAGTCCCTTCCACAAATGTACTCGCTTAGACAATGCAAATATATTCTCTCTTTAAAGTTCCAGAGATCAGAAGTCGTAAAATAAAGGTGTTCTGTTCCTTCTGGAGGCTCTGGAGGAGAATCTATTTTCTCATCTTTTCTAGTTCATGGAGACTGCCATCATCCCTTGTCTCATGGCCCCATCTTTCATCTTGATAGCCGGCAGTGCAGCGTCTTCTAATCTCTTAATCTGACTCTCCTGCTTTCCTCCTATAAGAAGCCCAATTATATTGGGCCCACTAGGATAACCTTTGCATTCTAGGATGCTTATTTTAATTACATATGCAAGGTCCCTTTTGCCTTGTAAAGTAACATATTTACAGGATCTGGGGATTAAGACAAGGACATCTTTCAAGGACCATTATTCAGCCTGCAATAGAGACTTTTCTTAATTCCTTGACCAATGAAGATTTTTTAACTGTATATATCTATTGTCTATATTGCCTTTTTGTCCTAAAAACTATTAAAAAGGAAAAAAAGCAACTAACATAGCTGTCAACAACTCGGTAGTACATTATAAACTTTTAAAGGACAAACAGTAAATAGATCCCTACAGGGTTTCATTCTTCTTAGATACATTTATTACCCAAAAAGGTGTAAAATTTAAATACCATTGTAAAAATATATATCCTTGCCATTTGAAGAAATTGGTGAGATAATTTTTCTTACTTTATTTTTAGAGAACCAGAAAGAAAGTAAAAATGACCAACAGTATTTACAATATCTATAGCCTACTTGATATTAATAGTTAACTATTTAATACATAGAACAAACTGAGCTAATTGAGTAAAGAAAGGTAATATTAGAATTTACATTTTTGAAATCTAGTCCTCTGGATTATGCATATCTATAATATACATTGTTAATATGTACATATAAAAGCTATTATTACTCAAATTTTTAATGAGGTTGCTCCAAAGGCAGAAGAACCATCCACTACTAAAGAAATTACATTAGTTATTTGCTCAGAAATCTACCCATATTCTTAGGATACTTGGAACAAATTTGAAAATGATAAAGTACCAATCAAATGTTAGGTACTATACTTTTTCTACTCTCTTGGAGCTTTATTAATTTCAAAGCCCAACTTTTGTTCCCCTCTTCATCTCATATCCAGTATATTATTATATATCGTATATATTGTATTGTGTCATCCAGTGAGAATTTTAAAAGAAACAGTGAATAAACAGAGGCTTTTTAAATCCGTGAATCAAAAACATCCTTTATAGCAAATTAAAATTTTGGAGGAAGATGATTGAGAGCAATCCTTACTGGTTAGCACTTATGGGATGTTTTATATTTTAAAGTAAATTATATTATTCACTAATTTACTGGAATGTGCTGTGTAAAACAAATATAGACAACATAAGTCCAAAATATATTGTTGACATCAGTATTTAAGCTAGGAATTATCCACTTAGTTTAGAAATTATCAAGGAAAGATTGACAGCATTAAAAGAATACTTTGGCCCTGGCCGGTGTGTCTCAGTGGTTGGAGCTTCAGTCTCATGGACTGAAATGTTGTGAGTTTGATTCCAGGTCAGTGCACATGCCTAGGCTGTGGGTTCCAGCCCCAATCGGGGTTAGGATGAGAGGCAACCCATTGATGTTTCTCTCTCATGCTGATGTTTCTTTCTCTCTCTCTCATTACATTCTCTTTCCCTTCCCCCATCTCTGAAATCAATGAATATATCCTCAGGTGAAGATTAATAAAAATAAAAAATTTTATAAGCCATTATTTTGCATATTTGTGTTTACTCAGTGGAGAGAAAATACTGATATTATAAGTGTAATATAAAAATAACAACTTTAAGATATTCTCATTTAACTATTTGTAAAATACATGCTACCATGAGTGTATACCTGTATATGTTTGTTTTCTCTTTCAGACCCAATAACAGCATAAGGATATGCTGAGAAATTAAGTAAAAATCAATAAATTGTATTTTTAATTTCATTAATATGATGTAAATGTGCCTCGCAAAGGCAAAATTTCACATGTGATTAATGTTTCCTTAATCTGGTGATCTCATGATAGTCACATATTTCTTCTGTAAGATGAAAATATTATAAATTTTAAGTAAAACTCAAAAACTGATAAATTTTATCACTGCTTTTTTATGTCAGAAAAATCTTCATTGTTAGATAAAAATGCATATTACTCAACTAATAATATTTTAATTACTATAGGGAAAGTATTTTACACTTCAATAAAACAAAGCGGATAGAAGTTTAAATAAAATATCCCTAATTTATCTGCTATTCATATTAAATATTTAAATGATTTATATCTTTGATAATATGAGTAAGTTCAAATTTAGAATGAAAACATGTATGCATATATCTTGAGAACCTTCATTTAATGATTATCTTTCCCAAAAATTAATTTGAAATTTTTAACTTTGAAACATCAAAATTTGCCATATTTGTAATGTTGCATCATATATTTTTGTGTAGGCCATGTCAAAGAGGCATCACTTTATTTTAAGACAATTCAATTTTCAAACATAGTTTAAACTGATTGCCTGGTTGAATTAACTAGTCCAAAAGAATTAAAGAAAATCAGTTCTAACTACTTGTAGCCTGAATTATGGTATTCAAGTAAACTTGGGGATTTATATCTGAGTTACTTGTTAACACAAGGAAAGAAATGTATCAAGGCAGTCCTGAGAAACAATATTAAAGCCTTCATAAGTGAGTTACTCAATGTCTAATTTTGCTCTTTGAGTTATAATTTAACACAGCATGTTAATGTTGTCACCTTGCATTCTTTAAAACATGAAAGTCCCAAGTCAGCAAACACTTATCAATAATTTAATTATACCTCTGTGAACATTAAAGTTAAAAACGACCAATCAAATTAGGAGTCTGAATACAATTGGACTGTTGTACATACAGGACTCAAATAGAGATCTATCATGTCGTTAAATGGCAGTAGGTGAAAAAAAGGTTTCTTCAATAATTAATTACACTCAAATTTATATGTGCCTATGTTAATTTTTTTAAATATTGTTTTAAATTGCATTGAAATAAATATATGTTAATAAAAACGAATGCTCCTATAATATTTTTTATATTTAATTATAGTGAAGTAATACTTTACTTCAACTTAAACCTAAGCTTTATGATTTACATTAGGTATAGATATGCCTTTCTTACCATTGTTTACACACAAAATTTAAAGGTAAATAAAATAATAAACTTTTCATATTCAATTGTACTTGGGAAACTTACTATTTAAATATGCTCAATTGGAATTCTTTTGTAAAATAATTACTAAATAAATGTTCCCTAATTTATCTATTCTGTAAATTTTTACATCAGCATGTTCGTTTTCCTCTAAATGTGGTTACCACAATTCTAACCCTTTCACAGATATTGATTCAAGATCAGTGATTCACTTTTCTTAAGAAAGAAAATTTCTAATTAAGGCAAGTTTTCATTTTTTAATCCCTAAGATATTTGTTAAAATTATCTGAAAATATTGGCTGTTTTAGCAATTACTCCAACATCCAGAAAAGTAGGGTCTGTGGCTTAGTCTGAATCCCTCTTTTAAGTATTCTAACACCAATTTTGCATGACCCCAGGATAGTTTTCATTTAATTAATATTGTAATGTTTTGGAATAATCCACTTTGTTTAAATAGTATAACATACCTTGTTCTGAAATTTAAAGATTTTCTGAATAGTTTAATAAAAATAAAATAAAGTAATAAATAGTCCCTCAAAACCAATTATAATTGCATAAATCCCCTATTTTCATTTCACTACTCACCAAGTTTTTCATGTTTAGAAATTCTCCCAGTATCACTATATGAAACTGGAAATAAATTCTACTAAAATAACTGTTAGGATGTGCTGGAGTTTCTATAAATATGCTCTACAATATTTTATATATTTATATTTTCAATCTTCTATATTTCTGGACCTGATATTGTTTTGCTTTGTTTCAGTTTTCTTTCCAATTACTCTTACCTACTTTTTCACAATATTTCTTTAGGATCTAACAAGTTTAGAACAAAATAATTTCCTCTTTAGCCTTTGACAATTTAGTATTCTAATGTGTTAGTAATGAAACAACATACCTACACCTTTCTCATTTAGAAAGGAGTTAGAATCTAAAGGAAAGAAAGAGCTCGAATTTTGAAGAATATTTAGAAATGGCATAATTCTGGAAGTTCAAGAAAATCAACTAGTTCTAATGGAAAGGTGTTTCCTTCTGAGTTTGCACCACTGTTGCACTCTTCTTGTGAAAGGTTTTCTGTCATTCCAGGGTTCACTTGTTTCTGTACAATTGGAAAATATTTGCAGAGTTTCTAACTGTCCATCACAGAGACATCAAAATGGAGATGTAGGAAAGTCATATTATGTAATTCTTTACTTGAAAAGCAATCCACGTTTTTTTTATCATAGTAATTGCTAGATACTTGGATATCTAGATCTAGAAGTATCATATGATACCCTGCTCTCTTCTGTTGCCTCCTGTGATCCCAGAATTGAAAGAGTTGAGTGAGAAGATTGAAAACTTGAGTTTCCTTATTATGTTGCACACCTAAAACCCTTGTTAACATAGTTCTTGTTGGATATGGTGGGGTGGTAGGGTGGTATGGCAGTGTGGAATACAGTCCGAGAATTAAATATCATTTAGGAATCAAGACCATTTTAAATTATTGAAGTTTCCCTTAGTTTAAGTTTCTTTAAAAAAAAAAAACAACCATTCAACTATAGCTATATTGGGAAGGTGTAAAAGAGTTAAAAAGTGATTGTCAATGAGCAAAAATCCTCATTTATCAGAACAGGAATTCAATGAATATCAAGATTTTATTTGAAAAATAAGTGTTAAAAAATTGCTTTAAAAAAAGAAAGAAATTATTGTTCCTGGGACAGAGGTGGGAATAGAGAAGGAACAAAACTTACTTTGATTAAAAAACAAACAAACCCTTAGCACTATTTATATTTTCAAACCTGTTTACATATACCACTTTAATTAAAATAAAAATTTATTGTAAAATATCTTAAGATTTCCCCTGAACACTCATGTATTTCCAATCATTCTTTTTCCCTTAGGATTTTACTTTATAATATTAACATATAAGCCCAAGAATAAATCAGAAATTGAGAAAAGGGTGTTAATAATGTTGTTGATTATTGAGTATTTTGAGAATATGGGTTCCTGGACATTTGTACTTATAAAAGTAGTATCTTATTTGTACTTATAAATAAATATTGCATTATGTTTAAACAATGAATTATAGGTATTTTTATACCAACCTGACTGACTGTATCTGCTTTTTAACATCATAACTTTTGTATTAGCTGTGGGATCATTTTCAACTGAAAATACTTCTGTTTCATCATTTTCAAATACATTCTTTTCATCCATTATCTTATTAGGAACTGAGAATTCTGTTTCCTCCTGAATGTTCCAAGGATTGTCAAAATTATACAAGAATTTTGTAAAATATGGCAAGGTGACAGAATCATCTGTGTTCTCTAAGACTTCATCCTTGCCTAATTGATCTTCAGTTTCCATAATTTTTATTATTTTGATTTCTTCTTCCTTATCAGGGTCTAATTCACTTGTTGCAAGATGTTCACGTTTATCTCCTTTATCTCCTTCATCTTGTCCATTATATGTTATAACTTTATCTTCATTGACATATGCAAAGCCTAACATACTAAAACCAAAATCAAACCAACTTGATTTGAGAATTGAGCTATCATTAGTGATTGTGTCTTCTTTTTCTGATAATATTTCTGTACATGGATATGTGGGTTCTTCCTCAGATGATACGGAATTAGGAACATCTTGTAGTGATGGATTGCTTTCTTTGGACAGTAATTCAAGCCCTGTATCCTCACTTCCAAAACCTAAATAACTTGTAAATCCACCGCCAAACCAACCAGTAACTTGAGGATTGACAATGTGCTCTGACTCAGACTCTTCAGGCTGTTTCTTTGGCATTGATCTGAATTCTAATTCAGGGTCTTTTTTATGTTCTGTTTGGGGATCACCATTGTTTAATTTCTCTAGGTCATTCTCATCTCCTACTGCCATTTTACTACTTTGAAATGAGCTTTCTTGTTCAATTGCTTGTTCAATTTCTTGTTCAAAAGTCACTTCTTCAGTTTGCGCCCTTCCAAATCCAAACCATCCCTGCACTTCAGCCACAGTTGAGGATGGTGGGACTTGATGCACTTCTGGAATAGGATCCTGTTTTACACTTTCAGCTTCTACTCCTTCCCAATCTTTTGAGTCACTAGTTTTTCTGATATCATCAGGAGCCTCTGATGACGTAAATTGGTCTTCATTCCAAATACTTTCGAAAGCTGAATAAAATTCATTTTCTATCTGAAAATCATTTTCATGTACACTAGATTTTTTGTCTTTATCTTCTTCATATGGATATATATTTTCACCATCATCACTGTTTAACTCACTGTCTTCATTTTCAAATGTATAGCTTACTCCAAGAAGACAAAAGAAATCAGACTCCTAAAAGGAAAAAATATATATGGTTGACATGAATATACTAAAACTTCTTTCTCCCTAAACATGGATGATTATGGCACACAACTAGTTCAACAACACAGTAAAAGCTAAAATCAGATTTCCTAATCTCAGACACTGTCAATTGTATCAAAACTGACTTCTCAGGTTAATGATGTAAACTTAAATGAAAATCATTTTACAGGCCTTGGCCAGCTGGCTCAGTTGTTTGGAGCAGCATCCCATGCACCAAAGGGTTGCAGGTTTGATCTCTGGTCAGGGCACATAACTATGTTGTAGATTCAATCCCCAGTTAGGGTGCATATGGGAGGAAACTGGTCAACGTTTTTCTCTCTCTCCCCTTTCCTCTCTCTCTAAAATCAATTTTTAAAAAACATATCCTCAGGTGACGATTAGAAAAAGAAATCATTTTACACTAGGGTTTATTTGTTTTCTAACAGTTGAAGAATTTGAGAAGCAGAGACACTCTGAGCATATTCTACAAATAAACTCTAATGGAAAGGCATAAAATCTTGGTCCTCCTAAGAGTGCACTGAATGGACACAGGCAGCTGTGTGGTAGTTTGAGGGAAGGGGATTTCACAGCACGTGGTCACAGCTCAGATAGTCCAGAGACTCTAAAGCGTGAAGACCTGGGTAAAAATTGCACTAAGACATTTAGACTTCTTTTATTGAGATACTACATATAGCCAATAGAGGTATAGATATCCTTTCTCATCTCACAGAACAACCAAATCATTAAGAAAAATGGTAAAGATATATTTTTTAAAATCTGAAGGTATTTAACTGATATACACTGTTCTTTGGACATCACCATTATGAAGTAAGTATAGTGTTCAAATTTTTTAAAATAAACTTCAGAATTCTAATTTTACAATACGTTTTGTCACTGCAATACAGTGATTAAGAACAGACTCCAGAGCCAAACCCTCAGGGTTCAAATCCTGACTCTGTCGTTTACTAGCTGTGACCTTGAGTGAATCGTATGACCTTTCTACAGTCTTGCCATCTGTAAAATGAAAATAATGGCAGGACCGACTGTAGAAGGGTGTTTTGAGGATTAAATGAATCAGGTGCTTAGGATAGTAACTATCTCTAGTATACACTAGCCTAATTAGATCAAGGTTACACTACCCCAGATGAGCCACTAATGCAAGTGTATAAAGGCCCAACCCCTTGCCTCTATTCAGAACAACTCTGAAAGGACATCCAAGCTTCAGTTTCTTACTGAATCAACTGTGACCTTTGTTGCAACTGCATCACAGTTCAGCTTCTCTGTCTGCCCAATCCTCTCTTTTCTTTTGTTCCCTCACAGGTGCTATTATTCCTAAGAAGACTCCCCTGTAAACTTCTTGGAGGCAAAGGCCCATCTCAGAATCTATTTCTCAGGGAATTTGACCTAAAAATTTGAGGTTTTTATATGTTTACTATATACTCTGCATTGTGCTAGGTGCAGGAATTTTACAGTAATCAATAGGAAAAAAGGTAATTATAAATTGTGATAAGTACTGTAATGGAGTGCTGAGCTGGAGATCCCCCAAAATGGAGAAAAACCCCAGAGCTACCACTTGGGGGACGAGGGAAGGAGAGCAGGGCCAAGTCTAAACTACTTTGCCAGTGTTTTAATAATGTTAAAAGCTGTGCCTGCACTCTGAGCCAGAGAAATGGGCATGACTCTAACCCCTGATGTGACGTAGCTGGAAGAGCTTTCTCTGCCTGCAAGAGAGGCTTGGAGGTAGCTTTGGCATCACAGGCCGTGCTTGCCTGGGCTAACAATGGTAGCTGAGAAAGGCAGAAGAAACCAGACTACTGGAAGGTGTAACTCATTGTGGCAGGAGTCAGAAGTGGGGTTATGGAGGAAGGCCCATGCCAGGATTTAAACCCAGGTGTGGCAGCCATGCTGGGGCTTAACCATGATTTGTAAGTGGAGGGAGTGGCTCTCTTGACCACGCAGTTTAGAAAGAAGCAGAAAAGCAGGATATAGCAGCAGTAAAAGGCCTTGGCCATACAGTTTGAAAGAATGCAGAGGGACCCCCATAGATCCACTATGAGGACGTGCCACTCGATTTTGGATTAAAAACAGGAGACTAGCTGAGCTACTGACTTCTACTTTCTTTTCCTGAGATACGGTACTCCTGACTGGCCTGGTTTGGCAAAGGGAGGCAGGATTGTGTGTGCGTTTGTGGGTGTTTCTTTGAATCTAAAAGGAGTAAGACTTAATGGCAGAATTCCACCATTATTCTAAACCGTATAACTTTTGAATAAGTAGTTCCTTTTCTTTTTACAAAATTCTGACATTGAGAGCCACAGTTCTTATTAGTGGTGGGCAAACAGAACCCAGAGTAACAAAAGACCCATGGTTGGGGGCGGTGGAGGGGGGGTTCTGTTACAGTACTCTGAAGGATTTACAAGGAAGCTGTGATTAAGAGGCAGTAATTCCATAAGAATCATCATGGAAGGCCTCTCTGAGGCACTGATGTGTAACCTGTGACCTAAGGGATAAGAAGGAAGTAAAAAAGTGAAGAACTTGGGGAAAGCATTCCAACCAGAGGGAATACCCTGTTTGGGTCTCTCAGCTGGGAAGAAGTTTGGCATATTGTAAGAACCATCAACAGGTCAGTGTGGTCCAGAGCATAGTGAGTGAGGAGAGAGTGGCATAAGACAAGGTTAGCAATGGGGGCAAGAGAAACCACGTAAAACCAGGGTAAGTGGTCAGGGATTGATTCCAGGTTCAATGAAAAGCCATGAAAGGGCTTTAAACAAGAGGAATTATATGATCTGATTTTTTTAATTTTTAATTTTTGTAATATTCTTTGCTATTTAAAGAATGGATTGGGAAGGGGCAAAAGTAGAGGAAAGGAGGTCAGTTAGAAGGCTATTGTATTCAAATTAGGAGAAGATGATGCCTCCTTAGATTAGAGCTATGGGGAGAGTAAAAATGATGAAAAGACAACACACTCCAGATGTATTTTCTAGATAGAACTAACAGGATCAGTAATAGTACATTAAATGGACAGTTAATCCCAGAATTTGTGCTGAGAAAGAGCCAAGTAATAGACAATTTGCTTGACTAGACAGGATCATTTCACATTGATCTCATGTAAGGTAAATTGGCTTAATCTGGCATCTGAATTAAATGAGCTAATCAAATTCACATACTAAAAGGTAACTTTGTCATTATCAAGCTTATTTAAAATTCTAACAGAAAAAAAGATTGTACATACGATACCTAGAGAGCATTAACCTAAAAATAAAAGGCCTTTAAAGTGAGAGTCAAAAAGCATTTATTTGATATTAAAAAAAGAATAGCTATTCAGGAATCACCTATTCAAGCAGTAACCCAAATAGTGTTCCAATTAGGAGAAAAAAAGGTAAGGGATATCTATGAGAAAGATAAGAGGAATAATTACACCAATACAAGGAAGACATTTCATTGGTACAGATAAATTAATATAGTGATGCTGATACAGAGAGCTCTGATTAAGATAAGTCAGGACTAGAGGAGAGACTGCAGACAGAGGCTTTGGGGAGAGAACCAAGAGTGTAGCCAGCAGGATCCTGGTACTGACTCCTCCCCATCTGGCAGCAGCCATCTGGCTCAGGAAGACCACTCCCCTGAGCAACAGCAGCATGAAGAGGACCCAATAACCCATATCTCAGGAGGGACTCTGCCATGCCCTGTGGGGCTTCAGCCTGACTACTGAATGCAGAGTGACTGGATTAACAACTGAAGGAGACAGCCACAGACAGTAGATTCCTGGAAGTCTCGAACACTGTGTAAGTTCAGACAGGGTCAACATCTGACATCGTCAGAGGCAGATCCACAAAGAAAAAACAGCAGTCTCCTACCATAGAAGTTCACACCACAAAGTCAGAAAATCAAGACAGATCAATTTAAGAAGCAGAAGCAAAAAAGAAGAGTCTCACAAATAATGGGAAGACAAAAAAAACAGCCCCCAGTCAAAAGGAAAGGAGGAATTCCCAGAAAGAGAACTAAATGAAATTGAGGCAAGTAAACTATCAGATATTGAGTTCCAAACAATGGTTCTAAGGAAACTAAATGAGCTCAGTAAGCTCAGAGAGAATTACAAAAAATACAGGGAAACTATGGGGACCCTCCTGCAAGCTATATCAGCATGAAAAAGGACATAGAAACTATCAATAAAAGGCAAGAGGAAATGAAGAATTACAATTTCTGAATTGAAGAACAAAGTAGAAGGAATCAAACGCTGGCTAGATGAAGCAGAGGGATGAATCAGAGAGCTGGAGGATAAGGTAGAAGAAAGCTCTCAGAAAGAGCACGAAAATGAAAAAAAGACTCAAAAAGAATGAAGAGGCATTTAGGAAAATGCAGGACATCAGGAAATGTAATAATATTCGTACAATAGGGGTCCCAGAAGGAGAAGAGGAGGAGCAAGGGATAGAGAACCTGTTTGAAAGAGTAATGATGGAAAACTTCCCTAACTGGAGGAGAGAAAAAGTCACACAAGTCCAGCAAGCACAGAGGGTCCCATTCAGGAGGAACCCAACGAGGCCCGCTCCGAGACACTTCATCATTAAAATGGCAAATATCAAAGACAGAGAATCCTAAAGGCAGCAAGGGAGAAAGAGGTAGTAACATATAAGGGAGCCCCAGAGTGGCTAGCAGCTGACTTCTCAACAGAAACACTACAAGCCAGAAGGGAATGGCAAGAAATATTCCAAGTTACGAAAAGCAAAGGCCGGCAACCAACAATGCTCTACCCAGCAAGGCTCTCAATGCAAATGGAAGGCGAAATAAGGAGTTTCCCAGACAACAGAAGGCTAAAAGAATACACCCCCACCAAACCAACATTGCAAAATATGCTAAAGGAACCGCTTTAGGAAGATGAAGGAAAAGAGTTGATGAATACCCAGTTCCTTTCACAGTCACCAATACTTGATATCGCCAATATTTTTAATCACCTATTAATCTGATTGTGACAATGATGTGTTATTTGAATTGTCACTTATTATTTGTTGAAACTAAACCTGTTTTTGTATATTTCTTGCCTATTTCTATTATTTTTAAAAAGCGCTAAATGACTTTTTGGTATTCTTTATCCATTTTTTGATTAAATGTTTGTAGAATTTTTCCCTAAAAAAAAAACCCCAAAAAACTATTAACCCTTTTATAGATGTGTTGCAAATACTTTCCTATTCTATTACCGGTCACTTAACTTTTTTATATGTATATTACTGTAAAGTCTTACATGCTTAATATAGTCATGTTGTCGTTATTTTACTTTATAGCTTCTGGGTTTGAATATTTTACTTCAGGGTAAGGAAAATATTATTTTGTATTTTCTCCTAAAACTCCTCAGGTTTTATTTATTGATTTTTAACTCACCTGAATATTTTTTGTATAATGTGTGAAATAGGGCTCTATATTTGTTTTATTTCAAGTAATAGTGGTCCATGCACCTCATTTGTTGAATAAGCCTTATTTCCCCCACTGATTTAGAATATCAATTTTATCATGTATTACATTGTTAGACAGATATGTATGTTTGTTTCTAGAATGCTCATTTCATTTCATAGATCTACTTGATTATTTCTGTGCTGGTGTCATGTTGTTTTAATTGCTGAGACTTTATAGTGGCTTTAAATTTTTTAATATTTTATCATGGATCTTGACATTTAAAAATAAAGAAAGAAAGAAAAGTAAATTTAAAAAATATAAAAGATACGTCAGATCTCTGGGGAAAAATGAGGAGGGGCCATCAGAGGAGTTTGCCAGGGCCAGTGTGGACAGTCTAGGACAGGATTGGCTGAGATGCTGAATGCCTCCAGAGCCAAAGGAAATATAGAGAGGACTGGCTCTCTGGCTCAGGGAGAGCTCTCTGTCTCCTGAGCTGTTTCAGGCTCTGGCTTTCGTTCCTTGAGGAATCTTTGATGGTCAGCTTCAGTTGTCAGCGTTTCCCAGTGGACAATATTTTGTATGGGAAGGAACTCCAGGCAAAGCCTATGATTGGGCCAGCCTGGCAGAAGGTGGCAGGTTTATTCTTTGGGTGTTCTAGAGGGGACAGGCTCTGAAGCAGAAGCCTGACATTCTTCCAAAATTGTGTAGTTTTTGTATGTTACGTTTTTCGTTTGTAAACTAACCTTATAGAAACAAGATGACTAAAAACTAACAGGGAAAAAGAAAGGAGAACTCAAGTATTAGAGTTTAGCCTTAACTGACAGGCTTAAATAACTGCATTTGAATAAAGACTCCTTTCCTTTATTACCAAACCTTTGCCTCTGGAATTTTTGCCTAGAGGGCAGCAGCAGGCAGCAGAACCCCAAGTACTGTGCCATTACATTCTAATTCTAAACAATGTATTTACTTTTTAGTCCTGTAGTCATAATATCTGCCCTCTTGTTATCCTTGTTATCTTTGTTAATTTTTATACTTGTCTGTTTTTATCCTTGTCTGTTCTTTTTTCAGAAAGCAAAAGCTTTGCTTGTCATCAACTTTGCTTTACCTAATTTTATCCACATAATCAAACTATTCCTAAAGTAAGTTCTCAGACCAGCTATTTTATGTATTCACTATAAAAATTACATAATCAGTTGGCACTTATACTTCAGAAAACTATTTTAGCTAAGACATTTTAAATTCAATGAATAAGCATAGTGAATTGTACTCACTTTAGCTGGTATTTGAATTTCCTCAGATATAAACACTTCTTCAATGTGAACTGCATCTCTGGGAAAATATCCAAAATCCTTTCCTTTCTACCAAAAATGAAGAACAAAGTTTAGCAAGGAAGAGTAATCAAAGCAATAATAACTATTGAACGTAACTTTACTCCATATCTTTGGCTCTTGTCTATTTCAAATCACAAATATTAATTGGTTTTCATTTGCCATCTAAAAGAAAGTGAGTGAAATCATATTCTTTTTGTTATTCAAAACAACAGCATTAAATTGAGGGAACAAAGAGCCAAACTGTAAAATGCCATTTTTTCTAAAATTCAGAAGGAAAACCCACCCATAAACTCATTTTCTTTCTTTTTGTGCTCCCCAATGACCTTCCCTGCCCAGGTGGACCACAGAGCGACTGAAGTACACCAGCAACTGAGGATATCAAAAGGCAAGAAGATGGTGGGCATAGCCAGGGTAGATAGAGCAATGACATACTCTGCATTTTTAGAATGTCAAACTCAGGTAAAAGGCTTCAACTCTGAAGGGCCAAGAGAGATTCATCAAGATAGTAAATATCTATGAGTCCTCTAGGGAGGATTTGGTTCATTCAAGTTTTCTGGGGCTACCTAAGTAACAGAGATCCTCTTAATCCAGTGTAAGTAGGATGTGCCCAGAGAGTGAAGGCTTCACACAACCTTTCTTAGCTCACTTCCTTTCCCTATCAAGGTGTAAAGACCATATTTCTTTTGGTGATTTGATCCAGCACTATTACACCTCCATTATGATTCTTCCACTTGGCAGTTGCTGCCAACTCTTAGGAAACTGACAGCCTGTGGGGGAATGCTACTCTGTGGATCGTTCAGTTAAAGTTATCTGCCTGAACTGAACACCTAATGAACAAGACTAAATATGCTTGAAACTTCACCATGGCTCCACACATTAAACACTGTTTTTGTGTGGAACTATCATTTTCACACATGGTAAACAAGAAAGACTGCTTTCTAATCCTATTATGATGTTTTACTCTGTCATTTTTCTTATAGCTGCATTGGGTGTCTCCAGTACTTTCTAAACATAGACTGGCGTGTTTAAGGGACCATAAGCAGTAAGGAATCTTGGGTGCTGCAGACACTGGGCAAAAAATTCTGGCTAGTGACATTTAGAGTCAGTTATATAGACCCTGATGCTAAAAAGCAGGACAGATCCAAATAGAATTTGCTCCTTCAAGAAGTGATCACAGACACCATACAAGGGAGGGATCTGATGTGTATGCAATATGGAAATGATGTATGTATTAGGTGGGTCATGATTGTTCAGCTTGGGAGTAAAACTGCTTATCATAGCATACTTACATATTTATTTACTTATTTTTTTTAATTTGAGAAAGAGATTTGTTGTTCCACTTATTTATGCATTCATTGGTTAATTCTTGTTTGTGCCTTGTCCAGATATTGAACCAGCAACCTTAGCATATTAGGATGACACTCTAACCACTGATCCACCCAGCCAGAGCCTAGCACCCTTTCATTATAAAGCATAATGATATAATCAAAGATACAAACCTATTTTCAACTGAAAACATTAATCATTAATTTTTCTATGATGCTTATTCAGAGAGATGATTCTGGCTTCTAGGATTTTTAGTGTAATAATACTTCGGGCCAAATAAAAGGCTCTCCCAGTTCTTTTTTTCCATGAAAATTCTTCCCTAGGCTATCTGAGGATCGTTTCCATCACAACTCAGTCCTTTATTTGCTCAGAAAGACATGTCTTTTAACCTGATTACCAAAACTTCCCAGTCTCTCTTAAACCTGGCCACTGACAGCACCAAGGAATGTCTGCTGTTGCCTAGTTATCCCATAATCTCCATCAACACCTCTAAAGTCTCTCCAAGTAAATATAAAATTTAAATTCAAAAACTATTACATGCTATGTAAAAATAATTTCAAGGGACTCTTAGACTTCCATGATGACCAGACTGACTTCCCAAAAGCTACTTTATAGAAATACTGGAACCAACATTAAACATAACCATTTTTCCTTTGTTCAGGTATGTTAAGGGTCAAATGTATATATATTTTACCTTTAGAGATGAAAAGCAGGCCTCCTTGTGTAAACTGGCTATTTATTCCACATTCAATTTTTAAGATTAGATACTTACACTTCCTGCCCACAAATCTTCCCTTTCTCCTGCAAGTTTAATGTAAACAGATATTTCTTCTCCCTTAGTGAAGTTTAGGTATCGGCAGTCAGGTCCTCTGTAATCTCTCATGGCTGAGACTCTGCTTATTAAAGCTATGTAGACATGTAAAGAAAAACAATTTAAATTAAAATGTTATTTTTCTCCCTCCCGTCTTGCCCTCCTCCAATCCATCCTATGTATTTCAAGTGCTAATTTCTTCATATTAGTTGTGGCCTCAAAGACCCACACAGACTTCCTACTACACATAGAATCAATTCAAAACTCTGCTTTGAGTTGCGAAGGCTGCCTATAAGCTGGTCTTTCTTCCTTATTTCAAATGACTTCCTTTTATTCCTTCACAATCCATCTCCTCTGTACATTGTCCTTGGAATATGTCATTGTCATTCTCCAGCAAATAGGGAAAGGAAAAAAAAGAAAATTAGTGTTTTTCTTGGTACCTATATATTGTATTCCAAGCATTTTGATAAATGTTTTAATTTATTTTATTAAACCTCAAAACAGGCCTATAAGGTAATAATCTCCTCTGAGTCTAATAAATGAAACTTTATTTAAGTCTCAGAGAATTAGTCACATACGTGATAAATGGTGGAGCTAGATTTTCTGGAGGCTCTTATCACTATAACATCCACCTTGCATATTCTGAGTTTTCTTTCCTCTGTTTCCTAAGTCTTCACGTTTTCCTTCATGGTGAACTCATAACTACTTCCTCTATGAGACATCCTTAATTGTTCTAGCTTACCCTGGCCTTTCTCTGAACTTTAATATTAACTTTTTATCCTCATGTTCTATCAGTATTTACTGTTTGATATTGACCTGTTTTTTAAGTGATTACGCTATTACATTTGTCCAAATTTCCCCCCCTTTGCCTCCCTCCACCCAGTACCCCCCACTCCTTCTGGTGATCCCTCCTCCTTTGTTCATATCCATGGGTCATGCATATAAGTTCTTTGGCAACTCCATTTCCTATACTTGCTTTTAATATCCCCCTGCCTTGTTCTTTAACTTCCAATTTGGACTTCTTAATCCCTTCAGCTTTCACCCCATTCCCCCAAATCCTTCTCCACTGGTCACCATCCTAATGTTCTCTGTATCTATGATTCTGTTTCTGTTCTGCTTGTTGGCTTAGTTTCTTGTAAATGTTTTATTTTTAGATTTAAATTTATTCTATTCTTTATTCTATTACAATTGTCTCAATTTTTCCCCCTTTGCCCTCTTCCACCCATCCCACAGTCAATTCCCACACTGTTGTCCGTGTCCATGGGTCATTCACATGTTCTTTGTCTAGTCCCTTCCCCTTCTTTCCACCGTTGTCCTCCTTCCCCATCCCCTCTGGTCACTTTCAGTCTGCTCCATGTTTCCATGCCTGCAGTTTATTTTGTTCATTAGTTTATTTCGCTGAATAGATTCCACTTATACATGAGAAGATATGGTATTTGTCTTTCACTGACTGGCTTATTTCACCTAGCATAATATTCTCCAGTTCCACCCATGTTGTCACAAAAGGTAGGAGTTACTTCTTTCTTTTTTTTAAATTCAGATAGTTTGTTTATTTATTTTTTAAATGTCAAGATCCATGATAAAATATTAAAAAATTTAAAGCCACTATAAAGTCTCAGCAATTAAAACAACATGACACCAGCACAGAAATAATCAAGTAGATCTATGAAATGAAATGAGCATTCTAGAAACAAACATACATATCTGTCTAACAATGTAATACATGATAAAATTGATATTCTAAATCAGTGGGGGAAATAAGGCTTATTCAACAAATGAGGTGCATGGACCACTATTACTTGAAATAAAACAAATATAGAGCCCTATTTCACACATTATACAAAAAATATTCAGGTGAGTTAAAAATCAATAAATAAAACCTGAGGAGTTTTAGGAGAAAATACAAAATAATATTTTCCTTACCCTGAAGTAAAATATTCAAACCCAGAAGCTATAAAGTAAAATAACGACAACATGACTATATTAAGCATGTAAGACTTTACAGTAATATACATATAAAAAAGTTAAGTGACCGGTAATAGAATAGGAAAGTATTTGCAACACATCTATAAAAGGGTTAATAGTTTTTTGGGGTTTTTTTTTAGGGAAAAATTCTACAAACATTTAATCAAAAAATGGATAAAGAATACCAAAAAGTCATTTAGCGCTTTTTAAAAATAATAGAAATAGGCAAGAAATATACAAAAACAGGTTTAGTTTCAACAAATAATAAGTGACAATTCAAATAACACATCATTGTCACAATCAGATTAATAGGTGATTAAAAATATTGGCGATATCAAGTATTGGTGACTGTGAAAGGAACTGGGTATTCATCAACTCTTTTCCTTCATCTTCCTAAAGCGGTTCCTTTAGCATATTTTGCAATGTTGGTTTGGTGGGGGTGTATTCTTTTAGCCTTCTGTTGTCTGGGAAACTCCTTATTTCGCCTTCCATTTGCATTGAGAGCCTTGCTGGGTAGAGCATTGTTGGTTGCCGGCCTTTGCTTTTCGTAACTTGGAATATTTCTTGCCATTCCCTTCTGGCTTGTAGTGTTTCTGTTGAGAAGTCAGCTGCTAGCCACTCTGGGGCTCCCTTATATGTTACTACCTCTTTCTCCCTTGCTGCCTTTAGGATTCTCTGTCTTTGATATTTGCCATTTTAATGATGAAGTGTCTCGGAGCGGGCCTCGTTGGGTTCCTCCTGAATGGGACCCTCTGTGCTTGCTGGACTTGTGTGACTTTTTCTCTCCTCCAGTTAGGGAAGTTTTCCATCATTACTCTTTCAAACAGGTTCTCTATCCCTTGCTCCTCCTCTTCTCCTTCTGGGACCCCTATTGTACGAATATTATTACATTTCCTGATGTCCTGCATTTTCCTAAATGCCTCTTCATTCTTTTTGAGTCTTTTTTTCATTTTCGTGCTCTTTCTGAGAGCTTTCTTCTACCTTATCCTCCAGCTCTCTGATTCATCCCTCTGCTTCATCTAGCCAGCGTTTGATTCCTTCTACTTTGTTCTTCAATTCAGAAATTGTATTTTTCGTTCCTTCATGTTCTTATTGCTATGGAGGATGAGACAGCACCAGGACCCACTGACTACCCTCTCAGTTCTTTTCCCCAAATCCGCCTTCCCCAGTCCCTCCTTGGGCGTCTCTAGCCCACTCTGTCCCTGCCTTTGCTGGAGGCTAGGGTAAGTGGCTGCAAATAAAAATGTATGCATTGGTTCTTTAAATGGCTCTTTCTGTCTCCAGCTGCCTGTCTCTGGCAGAGAGCAACTTTGCCACTTTTCCCAGCTGGCTATTATCTGTGTACTTTTTGGGCTCTGGTGCTGTAGGCTGGAGATCCCCACTTATGGTTTAGACCCCTCTCTTCTCAGGGGGATCCGACTAGCCATTCAATACCCTTCTGGTGCTGCTCCCTGTGGGCGCCCCACTCACCTTCTTGAGTCTCTACCACACTCCTTATCAGTTAGGTTGTGCTAAAGCTGATTCTTCTTTATGTCCAAGGTTATAAAGCTCCTCTCTCTCTGTTTTTCAATTGTTTGTTCCAGGGGATTTCTCCACAGGCTAGTTGTAATTCCAGATTGTTCCTGGGAGGAGGCCAGTATGACTTCTACTCACTCCTCCACCATCTTGATCCTCCTGTTTGCTTAGTTTGTTTTTTACATTCAGTTGTTGATATTTGTGTATTTGTTGCCAACTTAATGAACATAGTTTTGAACTTCCCTTTTTTCTTAAATAATTCCCTTTAACATTTCACATAATGATGGTTTTATGAGGATGAACTTTTTTAGCTTTACCTTTTTTGGGAAACACTTTATCTGCCCTTTCATTCTAAATGATAGCTTTCCTGGATAGAGTAATCCAAGCTATAGGTTCTTGCTTTTTATCACTTTGAATACTTCTTGCCAGTCTCATCTAGCCTGCATGTTTGTTTTGAGAAATCAGCTGACATCTTATGAGAACTCCTTTGTAAGTAAATCTCTGCTTTTCTCTTGCTGCTTCTAAGATTCTCTCTGTAGCCCTGGGTGGTATGGCTTCATGTGTCCTTCTCTTTCTCCCTCTCTTCCCCTCTCTAAAAATAAAAAAAAAGAGAAATCTTTAAAAAAAATTCTCTCTTTACCTGTAACTTTTGGCATTTTAATTATGATGTGTCTTGGAGTGTGCCTTTTTACATCTATCTTGTTTGGGACTCTGTGCTTCCTGGACTTGTATTTCTGTCACCAAATTAGGGAAGTTTTCTTTATTTTTTCAAATAAGTTTCCAAATTCTTGCTCTTTATCTTCTTCTGGCACCCCATGATGTAAATGTTGGCACGCTTTAAGTTGTTCCAGACGTTTCTTACACTATCCTTGATTTTTATTTTTATTTTTTCATTTTTCTTCTTGCTGTACTGACTGGAAGACTTTTGTTTCCTTATGTTCCAATTCATTGATTTCATTCTCCATCCACTCTGCTGTTGACTACCTGTTAATTGTTCTTTATTTCAATTACTGTTTCCTTCATTTCTGATTGGATAGTTTTTATGCTGTTGAGGTACTCACTGAGTTCCTTGAAAACCCTTATAACCAGTGTTTTCAACTTTGCCTCTGATAGATTGCTTATCTCCATTTTGTTTAGTTCTTTACCTGGAGATTTGATCCGTTCTTTCATTTGGGTCATGTTTCTTTGTCTCCTCATTTTGGCACCTCCCTGTGTTTGTTTCTATGTATTAGGCAGAGCTGCTATGACTCCTTGTCTTGGTAGCCTGGCCTAATGTAGTAGGTGTCCTGTAGGGTCCGGCAGTACAGCCTCCTCTATTACCCAAGCTGGGTACTCAAGGTGCACCCTTCATATGGACTGAGTACTCCCTCCTCTTATAGATGAGTCTTGATTTCTGTCAGCAGGCCACTGGGAGAGATTTACCCAGTCCAGACTGCTGGTAGGACTGGTTGTGACCCCTGGCCAGCAATCACCTCCCTCCATGGTTTGTGGAGGTGGTTAGGTGGTGGTGCACTGACACAGGCTATAACTGTCCACAGGATGTGCAGGCTCTGGGGTTTTCCAGGTGGTGCAGGCTATGGTCAGCCTCCACCTGTGTCTGTCTGGGGCCCCTTTA